AGTGTTCATAGACCTGCTGTTATTTCTACACTGTCTGTGAATTAACCCTGTTTTAAGAGGTTGCTACTTCTTCTTACTTAAAACTACATTTATGAAAACAAAATGAAATCATTTAAATGACAAAATACTCAACAAATATTTCTTATAACAAGTAAAAACTTTATAGATGCAGCTAAAGTATTCTTGATGAGCCTCTCTCCCTCAAATCTTGTCCTCTCTGTCCTTCCCAGGGGAAACTGCTGTTAATGAGTTTATTTTTTTCATTCCAGTCTTTATTCCATGTGTTTGCATACATATAAGAGTAGTCTTCAAAAATACATATTACTGTTTTTCTGTTATTTTCTACATAAAAGGTACTGTCTGTATCTTTCTGAAACTTTAAACAAAAATTCAACACTATTTCTTGGAGACCTTTTAATATCACTCTACATAAATATCCCATTCTTTAAAATTTCTACTTTAAATCTATAGTATGGGCATACTGTATGCTGGTCATTTAGAAGGTCTTTTTTCCTTATACAGCATTACAAACAATGCTGAAATGAGTATCTTTTGCACATCCTCCTTGTATGCAGTTGTAAATGTATTGAGAAGTGGAACTACTGGGCCATAACAGACATGGTCAAATGTCCCCCAGAATATCTGTTTACTCTCCCACCAGCAGTTTATGAACTATCTTTTTCCCCCAGACCATTACCAACACTCACTATTGTCATTCCTTTTTTTTTTCTTTACCAGTATTATATGGGAAAATCCTATTGTTTTAATTTCAATTTCTCTGATTATTAGTGAGATTAGTTGTCTTTTTTATATGTTTCTTGGAATTTTTCATTTCTTTTGTGAATTATTTTTTGATATCCATTGCTTGTTTTTCCCACAACTTTTTTTCAAATCTTCTTTACTCTCTTTGACTTCTGGGTCCTAGTAGATGACCTCTGAAAACAAAGAAAAGAAAAGACAATCTGACTGAAATGCTCTTTAATTTTCTACTATGAAACTTAAAAAAACTACCTTAGTTTCTATTCACCCTCTCTGCCTTTCCTATGTGAGTAGTGTTTACAATGTGAATAGTACCTATCTCTTCATTTACTGAATATTTCATCTATGAACACCCATTGCCATTACTATCTTTAGAGAATTTCCCCCAGTATGAATTACACCTCCCTAAGGTAGGGGACAAAAATTCACCTTCCTAGCTTCCCTTGCAGCTAGGATATCTTTATGTGACCTAAGCTGCCAGTCATACACACCTGCATGAGACTACTCTTTAGAACATAATAATAACATAAGGAAGAAACTTTTGGCTTTCAGTTGACTCAGTGGAAGAGGTTCTGTGGTCCAATATGGATCAGTAGGGTGAGTTGCAATGTTTGTATCCAGTGGTGAAAATAGAGGGAAATTTTGCTAGAACTATTTTATGGTGTGGCTTTGGTTATTATTTTTGTCTGTGTAGCCTTCTCACTGAATTTACCAGTTTTTTTTTTTTTTTTTTTTAGCTATTGTATTTTAATAATTTCTTTTTTGTGAGGAGGTGGGGCCAATATGGCAGAATAGTCAGATGCTTCCGGTGGACCCTCTTACAACAAAGACCAGAAAAAAAAAGTGGATTGATTATATATGGCATTCTGGGAGCCCTGAACATCAAAGGCAGAGTTGAGGAACCGGAATGAATGGCAGGGGGAAGGAGAGACAGTTCGGAAGCAGCGAGGAGCTGCCAGACCTGACCTGGCGATAGCCTGAGCCCTTCAGGCCTGATCAGCTCGGGGGTGAGCGGTGATGCAAGCAAGCGGCGGTGCTCAGGAGGCACGTTTTCCACACCGGAAGAGACCCAGTGCCAGAGAGTCTACACGGCCACCCAGAACCAGTGAGAAGCAGCCCTGGATCAGCGAAAGATAAGTAATTGTGTACAACCTACAGCGAGGATCAAAAACACCCCCCATAGGGAAAAACCTCTCTCCCATTTACTTCCCTGCTCCCTGCTCTGCACTGGGCCCCTGACCAGCTTCAGCAATTGCCAAATCCCCTGGGCTGGAAGTAGGATCCGTCACACGCCTGGAGTCATTCTCTCTGCCTTGGAGAGTGAACAAATTAACGAACGGGAAAAGATAAACTGCCGGCTCCCCTAAGCCAGGAACCCAGGGTAGGCGCAGCTCCTTTGCCTAAGCACAGGCATAAGGGATCCATGGACTTTGAGTGTCTTTCCCCCTGCATAGACTTGTGTGGGCCCATCTCAACAGTGTAGGCCCTTGTTACCACAGTACAACATGGTATATTGCTGGAACTCTAACTTCAACTGTTTCAGCTGTGAAGTGGCAGGTGCTTGACATTTGACGCTGCTCTGCCCATTAAGCAAGGTCTTCACCTACCCACATCAGGGGCCTGAGAACTGGTGGCTCCACCCATGCCACCTAGCCACCTGTGAGAGGAGCCCATGAATAAGAGGTGCAAAACCCACCCACCTATGCACTAATCCTTTCCCTGTGTTTTTGGTTTTCTTCGTTCTCCTTTGATCCAGACGGGGTAAATACAACAACTTTTTAATGGTCTTTATTCCATAAAATTCTCTGTTGATCACAAAGTATTTATATTCTTATGGAAGAGCCTCACAGTCTCATAGAGCAGAGCTGAAAGTCCTTTTCATAGCTCACATTTTAGTAATATATTTAAGAGTATCCACACTCAAATTAACTCACATTTGTAAACCAAATCCCAAACCAGCTTGCTTTCTCTGTTAAATATTAATTCCACTAGGTGGAGGCATTTGCTTAGTTTTGTGGCTCACCCTAAGGGTATAAGGTTAGAGAAGTCAGTTAAGTAGGGGAACACGTCTGAAACAAGGCAAATGGACCAGGGCCTGCCAACGCCTGTTGCTTTCCATTGTAACAACTCAGCAAATTATCTACATTACTCTTCTGAGTTCAAGATTTGCTTTTAATGTTTAGCAAAGGAAACTCCCAAGTTTTCTGTCTAAATTTTGTGGTTTTGTGTTTGAAGAGTTTAAATTTTAAAATACCTACTATTGGTTGTGAAGAATGGGAATTCCAGAACACTTAACTGTGCTCATGCGGAACCTGTACGTAGACAAAGAGGCAGCTGTTCGGACAGAACAAGGGGATTCTGCATGGTTTAAAATCAGGAAAATTATGTGTCAGGGTTGTATGCTTTTACCATACTTACTCAATCTGTATGCTGAGCAAATAACCAGAGAAGCTACTATATGAAGAGGAAAGCAGCATCAGCATTAAAGGAAGACTCATTAACAACCTGCAATATGCAAGTGACACAACCTTGTTTGCTGAAAGTGAAGAGGACTTGAAGCACTTACTGATGAAGATCCAAGACTACAGACTACAGTATGGATTCCACCGTAATGTAAAGAAAACAAAAATCCTCACAACTGGACCAATAAGCAACATCATGATAGAGAAAATATTGAAGTTGTCAAAGATTTTATTTTACTTAGATCCACAATCAATGCTCATGAAAGCAGCAATGAAGAAATCAAATGACATATCACATTGGGCAAATCTGCTACAAAAGACCTTTTTCAAGTGTTAAAAAGCGAAGATGTCACTTTGAGGACTAAGGTGCGCCTGACCCAAGCCATGGTATTTTCAATCGCCTCATATGTGTGGGAAAGCTGGACAACAAAAAGGAAGAGCAAAGAAGTATTAATGCCTTTCAATTATGGGGTTGGCAAAGAGTATTGAATATACCATGGACTTCCGGAAGAATGAACAAATCTGTCTTTGAAGAAGTACAGCCAGGATGCTCCTTAGTAGAGAGAATGGCAAGACTTTGTCTCATGTACTTTGGATATGTTATCAGGAGGGACCAGACCCTGGATAAGGACATCATGCTGGGTAAAGAAGAGGGTCAGCGAAAAAGAGGAAGACCTTCAATGAAATGGATTGACACAGTGGCAGCAACAATGGGCTCAAACATGGCAATGATTGTGAGGATGACACAAGATGGTGCTATTAGTCAGAACCTACTGGAAGGCACCTAACAACGACACTATGGGTTGAAATAGATTATTAACCTGGCATCTTGAGTTTTCTCATTTAATTCTTTGGACACCTCTTGCATTCAACAGTGGCATATTAACTAAGGATCTTCAACAATAAAATAGATGTTGTTTTCAGTATATTTTAGATATTTAATGTATTATTGAGATGATAATATAAGGACTATTATTAATATATAAATATTTTTATGTACTACTTTAGTCTTTATCCAAGTAATTTTATATAAAATGTTACCTCTTCAAGTTGAAGGGAAACAATATTCTTTTTTGAATATACCATGCAAGTGACAAAACTGTACAAGACAATTCTTAAAGTAACTGAAAGATAAAAGCCCTAAAAAATTGTGTGGATTCTATTTTTTCAATTTGAAACTTTTTTGTGGTTGTCTTCTTGGGTTTCGACTTTTCTGTTTTTATTGATACTAATGTTATAGGGAAACAGTATCTTTCTAGTTATGTAGGAAATTCATCTGCTCCTCTTTATTTTATATTTGAAGTTATGTTCTTTGTCATCAGTTAATTGACTTCAAGGAAGTAAGTTTCTGATGCTGAACTTTCTGAAAGCAGCCCAGTTCTCTTTCTGTGCAGTTGTTTTTTTTAAAAAAAGTCTTTCTTGTATGAGCACAATTGTTTTTGATTTTATTGTTTTAAAGATACTTTAAGTGTCTACAGCTGTTCTCATAAATTGTTTAAAAACACAACAGACTTGTTTTCCAACTCTTTAGAGAAAAATTAGTGAGTGATGTTACTTCTTTTTTTCCTTTTATACCTATGGGAAAGGGACAACCAAATCAGTGTATATAAATGAATTCTTGGAAAAATTCTAATTCTAAAGAATTTTTTATATCTAAGAGATTTTGTCTTTTTTTTTAAATGATACATTTAATTTTTTCATTTAAGAAAATTACTTGGCATATGCTGGATAAAATAGGCCTTATTCATCCACAAATCTAAGAATTGATTTTCTCTTTAGGATGAAGGCCTCGCCCGCCAGCTGGTGGAGCTAGGCTACCGAGGGACTGGGGAGGTGGTGAAAAGAGAAGACTTTGAAGCAAGAAAAGCAGCTATAGAGATTGCAAGGCTGGCTGAAAGAACTCAGAAAAAGTAAGTGTCCATGTCTGAAATCTAGATTTTATACTGTATTCTATAGTCTCTGGAAAAATCCAAGTTTGTTGACATTGCTGTAATTTAGGAACATTGCCTGGAGCAGGTAGAACTTATTACAAGTTCCATTCTCAGCATGTGTTCTGCAGATCAGGAACTGGAAGAACTGCAGTATGCTTGCAATAAAGCCACGTGCAACTTTGAGCTATGAATTTAGGAAATATAAATACCAAGTCATGGTCAGCATACCAATAAAGTTCTGTTAAAAATTAACTAAATATTATTGGTTTTATGAATTTATATACTACAAACATGAACGACTTTTGCCTGAAATTTATGTGTTTTCGGGGGGCCTGTAACTTTTTGGTATCATTTATGTTTTCACATTTTCTAAATATTGATTAATTCAATTTTTGTTAATGTGGCTAATTGGTTATATAAAATATGAATCTAATAAAATATATTATGAAAGAGATACATGCCAAAAATGAGCTAAATCAAATGAATAAGACTATTTTTAAAACATTTTATAAAGTAATCATCTGTTTAGTTTTTAGAAATGAGTGATAAAGTTGTAAATGTTAGAGAGGATAATTACTTAGAAATCAGTATATCTTAGATAACATCTTTAAAAATACTCAGTAATTATGAGCAGAAATTTCCCATATTTTTATTATAGAAAAATAACATTTGGTAATGGAATGTGAATTAGCCTGGGAATGTGCAATTTTAATTGATTGTTCTACTGGTTATTGTGCTTCTGTCAGTTTGTCATACTGTGGTGGCTTGTGTGTTCCTGTGATGCAGAAGCTGTGCCACTGGTATGTCAAATACCAGAAGGGTACCCATGATGGGCAGGTTTCAGCAGAGCTTCCAGGCTAAGACAGACTAGAAAAAAGGATGTAGTGGTCTACTTCTGAAAAAATTGACCAGTTAAGACCTTATGAATAGCAGCGGAATATTGTTGGATGTAGTGCCAGAACATGAGCCCTTAGGTTGGAAGGCACTCAAAATATGACTGGGAAAGGGCTGCCTCCTCAAAGTAGACTCAATCTTAATAATGTGGATGGAGTCAGTCAAGCTTTTGGGACCTTCAATTACTGATGTGGCACGACTCAAAATGAGAAGAAACAACTGAAAACATTCGTTAATAATCAGAACGTGGAAAGTATGAAGTATGAATCTAGGAAAATTAGAAGTCCTCAAAAATGTAACACATAAACATCGATATCCTGGCACTAGTGAGCTGCAGTGGACTACTATTGGCCTTTCTGAATCAGGCAATCATATGATCTACTATGCCGAGAATGACAAATTGAAGACGAATGGTGTCGCATTCATCTTGAAAAAGAACATTGCAAGATCTATCCCGAAGTACAGTACTGTCAGTGATAGGATAATATCCACACATCTACAAGGAGGACCAGTTAATATGGCTATTATTCAAATTTACATAGCAACCTCTAATGCCAAAGATGAGGAAATTGAAGATTTTTACCAACTTCTGCAGTGTGAAATTAATCAAACATGCAATCAAGACGCATTGATAATTACTGGTGATTGGAGTGCTAAAGTGGGAAACAAAGAAGGATTGGTAGTTGGAAAATATGGCCTTGGTGATAGAAATGATGCTGGAGATTGCATGATAGAATTCTGCAAGACCAATGACTTATTCATTGGAAATACCTTTTTCAACAACATAAACAGTGACTATACATGTGGACCTCGCGGGATGGAAAACACAGGAATCAAATCGACTACATCTGTGGAAAGAGATATTATCAGTCAGAACAAGGCCAGAGGCCGACTGCAGAACAGACCACCAATTGCTCATATGCAAATTCAAGTTGAAGCTGAAGACAATTAAAACAAGTCCGCTAGAGCCAAAGTACAACCTTGAGTATATGCACCTGAATTTATAGACCATCTCAAGCATAGATTTGACACATTGAATATTAATGACTGAACACCAGATGAGTTGTGGAATGACGTCAAGGACATCATACATGAAGAATCAAAAGATCATTAGAAAGACAGGAAAGAAAAAAAAAAACCAAAATGAATGTCAGAAGAGACTCTGAAATTTGCTCTTGAAAGTAGAGCAGCTAAAGGGAATGGATGAAATGAAGTAAAAGAGTGGAACAGAAGATTTCAAAGGGTGACTGGAGAAATTGCAAAGACCTTGAGTTAGAAAACCAAAAGGGAAGAACATGTTTAGCATTTCTCAAGCTGAGAGAGCAGAAGATAAAATGCAAGCCCTGAGTTACAATTTCGATGGATTCTGTGGGCAAAATACTGAGCAATGCAGGAAGCATCAAAAGAAGATGGAAGGAATACAGAGTCGGTAACAAAAAGAATTGGTTGACGTTTAGTCATTTCAGGAGGTAGCATACGATCAAGAACAGATGATATTGAAGGAAGAAGTCCAAGCTTCATTGAAGGCACTGGTGAAAAACAAGGCTCCAGGAATTGACAGACGACCGACTGAGATGTTTCAACAAACAGATGCAGAGCTGGAAGTACTCATTCGGCTATGGCAAGATATTTGCAAGACAGCTACCTGACCAGCTGACTGAAAGAGATCCATATTCGTGCCCATTCCAAAGAAAGGTGATCCAACCGAATGCAGAAATTATTGAACAATGTCATTAATATCAGACACAAGTGACATTTTGCCGAAGATCATTCAAAAACAATTGCAGCAGTACACTGACAGGGAACTGTCAGAAATTCAAGCCAGATTTCAGGAGAGGACATGGAACCGGGATATCAGTGCTGATGTCAGATGGATCTTGGCTGAAAACAGAGAATACCAGAAAGATGTTTACCTGTGTTTTATTGACTACGCAAAGGCATTCGACTACGTGGATCACAACAAATTATGGATAACATTGTGAAGAACAGGAATTCCAGAACGTTTAATTATGCTCATGTGGAAACTGTACATAGATTAAGAAGCAGTTGTTAGACAGAACAAGTAGATACTGCATGGTTTAAAATCAATAAAGGTGTGTGTCAGGGTTGTAACCTTTCACCATACCTATTCAATCTGTATGCTGAGCAAATAATCTGAGAAGCTGGACTATATGAAGAAGAATGTGGCATCAGCATTGGAGGAAGACTCATTAGCAACCTGGGACACAACCTTGCTTGCTGAAAATGAGGAAGACTTGGAGCACTTAATGATGAAAATCAAAGACTACAGTTTCCAGTATGGATTACACCTCAACATAAAGAAAACAAAAATCCTCACAACTGGACCAATAGGCAAGATCATGATAAACAGAGAAAAGATTGAAATTGTCAAGGATTTCATTTTACTTGGATCCTCGATCAACACCTATGGAAGCAGCAGTCAGGAAATCCAAGGATGTATAGCATTGGGCAAATCTGCTGTAAAAGACCTTTAAAAAGGTCTTTAAAGTGTTTAAAAGCAAGGGTGTGACTTTGAGGACTTAGGGGTGCCTGACCCAAGCCATGATATTTTCAATTTCCTCATATTCATGTGAAAGTTGGACAGTGAATAAGGAAGACCAAAGAAGTATTGATGCCTTTGAATTATGGTGTTAGCAAAGAATAATGAATATACCATGGATCACCAGAAGAACGAACAAGTCTGTCTTAGAAGAAATATAGCCAGGGTGCACCCTGGAAGCAAGGATGGGGAGACTTTGTCTCATGTACTTTGGAAGTGTTATCAGGAGGTACCAGTCCCTGGAGAAGGACATCATGCTTGGTTAGGTAGAGGGTCAGTGAAAAGGAGGAAGATCCTCAAGGAGGTGGATTGACACAGTGGCTGCAACAATGAGCTCAAACATGGCAACGATTGTGAGGATGGCTCAGGACTGGGCAGTGTTTCGTTCTGTTGTACATAGGGTCATATGAGTTGGAACTGATGTGACAGCACCTAACAACAACAATAACAACAGTGGTTATTGTGTTGTTGTTGTTAGTTGCCATCAAGCCCACTCTGATTCATGGTGACCTTATGTATAACAGAACAAAAAGTTGCCCTGTCCTGTGCTATCTTCGTTATCATTGGCATGCTTGATACATTGTTGCTGCTATAGTGGCAACCCATCTCATTGAGGGTTTCTCTTGTTTTTGTTGACCCTCTACTTTACCAACCATGATGTCGTTTCCTAGCGATTGGTCTTTCCTGATGATGTGTCCAAAGTAAACAAGACAAAGACTCACCATCCTCGCTTTTAAGGAACATTCTGGTTGTTTTTCTTCTAAGTCTGATTTGTTTATTCTTCTGACAGTCCATAGTATATTTCAATATTCTTCACCAGCATCGCAATTCAAATGCATCAATTCTTCTTATGTCTTTGCTTTCATTCTTCATTTTTCATATCCATATGAGACAATTGAAAAGACCACGACTTGGGTCAGACACACCTTAGTCATCAAAGTGACATCTTTGCTTTTTAACCTTTGCAGGAGATTTGCCCAGTGTAATACACCATTTGATTTCTTGACTGCTGCTTCCATGGATATTTATTGTTAATCCAGATAGAATGAATTTGTTGACAACTTCAATTTTTTTCTCCATTTATCATGATGTTTATTGATTCAGAACCATAGAAAAATTAAAATTTAACATACTGACATTTGGTAATGTATTAGTTTTCTATTGATAGCATAACGCTTTACTACAAACTTAGTGGCTTAAAACAACGCAAATTTATTTATTCATGGTTCTGTAGGTCAGAAGTTTGGGTCCAGTGTGGCTCAACTAGGTTCTCTGCTCTATGTATCAGAAGGCTGAAATCCAGGTGTTGGCTAAACTAAGTTCTTGTCTGGAGGCTTTGGTAATGAATCTGCTTCCAAGCTCATTCAGATAGTTGGCCACATTCAGTTCTTTGAGGTGTAGGGCTGAGGTCTGCGTTTCCTTGTGCGTTGTCAGCTGGGGCCTGGTCTTTGCTCCTAGAAGATTCCTACATTCCTCTCATACTTTAAATCTTTCTGGCTTTCTCTTGTTCAGCATCTTTCCTGCC